CTTTAGCTGCCCAGTCCTCTTGCTTCTTTCTCTTTAACATCTTTTGCATTCAGTTCCTCCCCCTACCATGCCCGCCCACTCCAGTGGATAGTCCAGACTTTGTGGTTGGGCCTCCAAAGCCCAGGATATCTCGCCCAAGATGACCTCATCTCCTTATCTTGCACCTATTCTGTGGCCCCTGTTATCTGGCTTCCACCACTCTCCCAGCCTGCGGCTCCCTGGATGCAGCCTCCACCCTCTGGCCTCTGCCTTTTTTCCCAGCCTCCCTTATGCCTGGGATGGTCCTTCCCCTCATCCACTTGGAAAACAGCTCAGATGTGTCCTCCCCCAGGGAACCTGTGTTCTCTGAGCACCAATCATTGCCTATTGTCCTTGTCCATGGCCTGGCCTGTGACCACCAGACCAGACACAGATGGGGCTGCAGGGATCACATCTGGGAGTTCACCTGGTTCTTCCCCCACATCCAAGGGGCCTTGAGGGAAGGGCAGTATCCCTCTGAGGGTCACAGGGTGCTGTTGGCCTCCAAGGCTGCTCCCTAACAATTGGTGAACTAAGCAAGGGAGAGGATACAGCTTGAAACCCATTTCACAGAGGAGATACCTGAAGCTCAGGGAAGGCAAGAACTTCCTATGGAAACTGTCACATCGTTGGGAAGGGCAGAGCTCAGGTCTGAGCTCCAATTTGGTTCCCTGGGTCACAGTCAGTTTGGTCCTGTTTGAATTAGGGTCCCTGGGTGGCAGTCAGTTCAGCCCTGTTTGAATCGGGCATCATTTCCTGAGCCCTGTCCTCTGCCTGGGTTCAGCTGGGAGCTGGGGTGTGTGTAGAAAGGAATTATCAGCACTTCCAACTGCTGGGAGATCATATTCTCAGAGGGTTGGACTCAGACCTGAGAAAAATCCCTCGGAGAGACAGCAGAGGCTAGTGACAGCCGCAGTGAACCCCCAGTCCTTACACATGGTGCTGCCAGTTCCATTTTTGGAAGCAATGCAGTTCAAGTCCAAAACCCCAGAATATCCGAGGCTTCCCTCACCCCACCCTACAGCCCCCATGGATGACAAATCTCTGGTATGCAGCTCCCCACCCCAGCTTTCTGTGAACAAATAGAATAGAAGCCTGCCCCATAATGTGCCTGGGGACACATCATTCATTCATTTGCCAGATATACAGCAAGCATTTGTGGAATGTTGGCTGTGTCTGGGCTGCCCTGGGGATACCAGAGGTGAGACCTCTCCAGTCCCTTCCCACAGGGCTCACAGTCAAAGAGAACAAGTATGTCCAAGTCTCCGCACCTCCTGCATCCCTCAATATTTATGTGAGTATGTGGCACTGTGTCTGTGGTCACATGTGTGCTGGTTAGGAAGGGATTTGCGGAGAAGGAGCCCTTAATGTGGCTAGTTGTTGGGGCTCCCTAAACAGACAGTGGGTAGGTCCTGGGGGGAGCAACTGAGGCTGGGAGAGAAGCAGAGTTTAAGGCACAGGAGAAAGGAGCAGCCTCTTTTGCTGGACCAGAGCAAAAGCTGGAGAATTACATGTGTGTGTTGGGAAAGGGGCCAGCCATGAGGAGCTTTGGGGCTGGCTGGGGAGCATGGATGTTACCCTTGGGGTGATGGGGAGCCTGGGCTTTAGGCTGGGGGATTTTGTGGTCACATCTGTGCTTTGCAAATGTCACCACTCAGGCACTGTGTGTGTGTATGAGGGGAGCCAGGAGGCCTCAAGGAGGCTGGTGCCATTTCCAGCCCAGTGGATGGTGGCCTGGACTAGGGTGGGAGCAGTGAGGATGGAGAGAAGGAGACATTTAAGAGATGTTCAGGAGGCAAAATGTAGGGCTTGGCGACTGATGGGATGTGGAGTCAGGAGAGAAGGAGACATCGCAGATGAGGCAGGGGTTTTAGGCCTGGGTGATGGGTGGATGATGGGATAGTGGTGTTTTTTCTTTTTTTAAATTTTTTATAGAGACGGGGTTTCACCATGGCCAGGATGGTCTTGATCTCTTGACCTCGTGATCCACCCACTTCGGCCTCCCAAAGTGCTGGGATTACAGGTGTGAGCCACCGCGCCTGGTAGTGGTGTTTTTTCATGAGGTGGGAGGCCTGGAGAATCTGGTTAAGGGGAAGTTGATATAGTCAGTTTGGGCAGGTGGCATCTGAGGGATCTAGGGACCATCCAGGAGGAAGTGTCCAGAAGCCAACTAGACAGAGAGAGGAGAGAGGGGTCTGAGCTGGAAACATCTAGAGGGGGGACAGTGGACAAATGGGTCACCAGAGATCAAGTGAGGAAAGGCCAAAAGCACCCTGGCCTGCTAGAGCACTTCAGTGCGTGGTGGGGCAAAGGCAGACTTGGAGGAGGTAAGTGTGAGGCTTGCAGGTATACCCAACCCACCGCCAGCCTCCACACCTCTTCAGCCCCAGCCTGGACCCTACTTTTCATCATGTGTGTCAAAAGACAAGGGCCAGGGATGCTGCCCAGGCTTTACTGCTCTCATCAGCCTCCTCCTGGAGCCACTTCTGCTTTCTGATGCCTTAAGTGCACCCATCCATTCAATCGTTAAAATTGCAATTTGAAGAAGTGCTGAATCTCATTAATAATCAACAATGCAAACACAAACAGCAGGAGACACTATTTTTTTGTTTGCCTCTGAGATGGGCAGTGATGAACATGATGTGTGAGTGGACACTCAAGAATAGGAATTGGTTTAAATATTTGAGGGTAGGCTGGGCATGATAGTGGCTGACACCTGTAATGTCAGCACTTTGGGAGGAGAGGTGGGAGGATCATTTCAGTCCAGGAGTTAGAGACCAGGCTGGGCAACATAGTGAAACCCAGTCTCTACTAAAAACACAAAAATTAGCATGCTATGGTGGCACATGCCTGTAACCTCAGCTCAAGAGGATGATGTGAGAGAATCGCTTGAGCCCAGGAGGTTGAGGCTGCAGTGAGCTGTGATCGTGCAACTGTACTCCAGCCTGGGCAACAGAGCAAGACTCTCTCTCAAAAAAAGAAAAAAAAAGGTTAAGAGTAGTTTTTAGGCCGGGTGTGGTGGCTCACGCCTATAATCCCAGCACTTTGGGAGGCTGAGGCGGGTGGATCATGAGGTCAAGAGATCGAGACCATCCTGGTCAACAAGGTGAAACCTCATCCCTACTAAAAATACAAAAATTAGCTGGGCATGGTGGTGTGTGCCTGTAGTCCCAGCTACTCGGGAGGCTGAGGCAGGAGAATTGCCTGAACCCAGGAGGCGGAGGTTGCAGTAAGCCGAGATCGCACCATTGCACTCTAGCCTGAGTAACGAGTGAAACTCTGTCTCAAAAAAAAAAGAGTAGTTTTTTTCAGAATGTATCAGGATGGCAAGTGCAAACCTCCCTTTCACCCTGCCATTCCACTTCAGGAAATTTATGCTAAAGAAATAGCTGTTCATTAGCTGGGTGTGGTGGCACATGCCTGTAATCCCAGCTACTTGGGAGGCTGAGGTAGGAGAATTGCTTGAACCTGGGAGGAGGAGGTGGTGGTGAGCCAAGATGAAATCGCTTTGTGCCACTGCACTCCAGCCTGGGCAACAAGAGCAAAACTCTGTCTTAAAAAAAAACAAAAACAAAAACAATGTTCATGCGGGGTGCAGTGGCTAACGCCTGTAATCCCAGCACTTTAGGGGGCCAAGGTGGGTGGATCACCTGAGGTCAGGAGTTTGAAACCAGCCTGACCAACATGGTGAAACCCCATCTCTACTAAAAATACAAAAATTAGCTGAATGTGGTGGGCACCTGTAATCCCAGATACTCAGGAGGCTGAGGCAGGAGAATCACTAGAACCCAGGAGGTGAAAGTTGCAGTGAGTCAAGATCACACCATTGCACTCCAGCCTGGGAGGACAGAGTGAGACTCCATCTTAAAAAAAAAAAGGCTGGATGCGGTGGCTCACGCCTATAATCCCAGCACTTTGGGAGGCTGAGGTCAGGAATTCGAGACCAGGCTGACTAACATGGTGAAACCCCGTCTCTACTAAAAATAGAAAAATTAGCTGGGTGTAGTGGTGCGCACCTGTAATCCCAGCTACTCAGGAGGCTGAGGCAGAAGAATTGCTTTAACCAGACAGACAGAGGTTTCAGTGAGCCAAGATCATGCCACTACACTCTAGCCTGGGTGACAGAGGGAGACTCCGTTAAGGAGGGAAGGAAGGAAGGGAGGGAGGGAGGGAGGGAGGGAGAGAGAGAGGGAAAGAAGGAAGGAAGGAGGGAGGGAGGGAGGGAAGGAAGGAAGGAAGGAAGGAAGGAAGGAAGGAAGGAAGGAAGGAAGGAAGGAAGGAACTGTTCGTGCAGGAAAACATCTGTGCCAAAAGATGTTGACTACCGGGTTGTTTCTGTTTTTGTTTTGTGACGGAGTCTCACTCTGTCACCCAGTCTCACTCTTTCACCCAAGCTGGAGTACAGTGGCTCAATCTTGGCTCACTGCAACCTCTGCCTCCCAGGTTCAAGCAATTCTCGTGTCTCAGCCTCCTCAATAGCTGGGATTACAGGTGTGCGCCACCATGCCTGGCTAATTTTTGTATTTTAGTAGAGATGGGGTTTCACCATGTTGGCCAGGCTGGTCTCGAACTTCTGACCTCAGGTGGTGATCTGCCTGTCTTGGCCTCCTAAAGTACTGGCCTGTTTAATTGGGAACAGAGGGATAATATAGTCCTTCAGTGGGAGATGGAGAGCTGAAGGAGGTGCAGATGTGCCTGGCATCATTCTGGATGCTGGGGACACAGTGACAGACCAGATCGGCAAGGTGCCTGCTCTCAAGGAGTTTATGCTCTTCCAAAGGAGACTGACAATAAATGAATTAACCTATGAACAAAATGGCTGGGCATGGCAGCTCACACCTGTAATCCCAGCACTTTGGGAGGCCGAGGTGGGCGGATTTTTAGTAGAGACTAAAAATACAAAAGTTTTTAGTGCACACTGGTAGTCCCAGCTACTTGGGAAGCTGAGGCAGGAGAATCACAGAATCACTAGAACCTGGGAGGCAGAGGTTGCAGCGAGCCAAGATTGTGGCACTGCACCAGCCTGGTGACAGAGAGAGAGATTTCATCTCAAAAAACAAACATAGAAGCAAGATGATTTCAGAGAGAGGGAGAGAGGAGAGCTGTGAAGAAGCCAAACCTGGTGGCATGGTCTGGAGTGGTGGGGCTGAGGAACTGCTTTAGTTAGGTTGGTCAGGGTAGGCCTCTTTGAGGCAGTGACATTGGAACTGAGACCTGAATGACAGGAAAGAAACAGTCACTGGGCTGGGCAAGGTGGCTCATGCCTGTAATCCCAGTGCTGTGGAAGGCTGAGGCGGGTGGATCACCTGAGATTGGAAGTTGGAGACCAGCCTAACCAACATGGAGAAACCCCGTCTCTACTAAAAATACAAAGAAATAGTCGGGTGTGGTGGTGCATGCCTGTAATTGCAGCTACTTGAGAAGCTGAGGTAGGAGAATCCTTGAACCCGGGAGGTGGAGGTTGTGGTGAGCTGAGATCATGCCATTGCACTCCAGCCTGGGCAACAAGAGCAAAACTCTGTCTCAAAAAAAAGATAAAAGAAACAGTCACTGAATGACCTAGAGGAAGAGTGTCCCAGGCAGAGGGAACAGCAAAGGGCTGGAGGGGGGCTGGGAAGTGAGAATGAGCTAGTGGAGGTTGAGTCATGTGGGCTAGAAGAGAGGTCAGGAGGTAAGGTCTGAGAGGTGAGTGAGGTGAGGTCAGGGTAGGGAGTAAGGGTTTTATATCTGAACATGGAAAGGTACTCAATGTAATAAGCATGGTGGAGTGGAGAAAGTTTTAGAACAACCCGCATAGCAGGAATCTCAGGTCAGACCTGCATCCACGGGTCCTGAGGGCCACCATGACCATCATCTGGGCGTTGTACTTTCACTTGGTTTATTTTCTTCTTTGTATTTATTCATACAAAGAATGGTTTGCAGTGAACATGGCATCGTTTTCTAAAGCAACATGGCCATTACTTATTGGGGCATTTCCAGGCTGGCCTCTGCACTGGGGAGGTGTAAGTTTCTGGGCTTGGCAATGTCTTCCCTGGGGACACTGCCTGAGGCCGGCCAGTATGGTTGTCATTGTCCCCGATAGTCCAGCCTCGGCCTCCAGGGGGAGCTCTGAGTGGGCCGTGCTCTGGGGGTGTGGGCAAGGGGTGGGGTGACTGTGTCTCGCGGTCTGGGCTGGGCGTCCTTCCTTCCTTCCTGACTCCTTTCTCCTAAGGGACAAGTGGGAGGGACGTCTTTGCCTCTCCCAGCTCATGGGATGAACTGCTCCCCTGGGACCCTTTCAGCCCAGTCCCCCTGACAAAGGTTCCAGTATGTGGTGCACAGTTTATTTTTTCTTGTCTTTTTTTTTTTTTTTTGAGATGGAGTCTTGGTCTCTCACCCAGGCTGGAGTCAGTGGCATGATCTTGGCTCACTGCAACCAACCCCTCCCAGGTTCAAGCGATTCTCCTGACTCAGCCTTCCAAGTAGCTGGGATTACAGGCACGCACCACCATGCTCAGCTAATTTTTGTATTTTTAGTAGAGATGGGGTTCCACCATGCTGGCCAGGCTGTTCTCGAACTCCTGACCTCGTGATCCGCCCGCATCGGCCTTCCAAAGTGCTGGGATTACAGGCATGAGCCACAGCGCCCGGCCGCACAGTTTATTTTTGTAAGTTCCTAACGCTAGGTGAGTTGCTCTGACAGAGACTTGAGGGGTAGTGGTGGGAGAGACCCGGCCACCGGGCATCTGCTCCCCCCGCCCCCGCTCCTATCGGATGACGACCTGGAGCTGAGAATCGCCAAACTGAGCCCTGCTATCCTCCCAAGAAGTTAGTCTTTGGCGCCACCGTATGGGAAGAGTCTACACTGCAGTTAAGGACTCGGCAAAACACCGCCACCTCGAGGGATGCCGCTCGCGGCTAATCCTGGGTTCAAGAATTGACGGTTGGCCGGGCGCCGTGGCTCACGCCTGTAATCTCAGCACTTTGGAAGGCCGAGGCGGGCGGATCACAAGGTCAGGAGATCAAGACCATCCTGGCCAACATGGTGAAACCCCGTCTCTACTAAAATACAAAAATGGGCGTGGTGGCAGACCTGTAGTCCCAGCTACTTGGGAGGCTGAGGCAGGAGAATTGCCTGAACCCAGGAGGCGGAGGTTACAGTGAGCTGAGATCACACCACTGCACTACAGCAGCCTCGCGCCTAGTGACAGAGCAAGACTCTGTCTCAAAAAAAAAAAAGAACTGACAGTCACTGTGGGTGCAGAGAACAACCGGTTTGGTTCTGTGTCACAGCTCTGCTCACACTCAGACCTGATCACAGGTACTGGGAACCACACCACCACAACCTCCTCCACACACCAAAGCCTCTTCAAGAGGGAGAAATGCTCCCTGTCCCTCCACTTCTCAGTCCTCTCCTCCTTTGACCCTTCCAGGTGTGTTGGGCACAGCGGGTCCTCCCCATCTTCTGAAGCATTATTTGGCTTCTGTGATCCAAGAGAAGGATTTCTAGCTGCTCCTCTGGCTATCTGCCTTCATGCCCCTCAGTGAGGTTCTCCAGGAACTCAGCCCACTTTTTTTTTTTGATGAAGTCTCTCTCTGTCACCCAGGCTGGAGTGCAGTGGCAAAATCTTGGCTCACTGCAACCTCCGCCTCCCGGGTTCAAGTGATTCTTCTGCCTCAGCCTCCTGAGTAGCTGGGACTGCAGGCGCCTGCCACCACACAGGGCTAATTTTTGTATTTTTAGTAAATATGGGGTTTCACCATATTTTGTGAAACGGGATTTCACCAGCTCTTGAACTCCTGACCTCGTGATCCGCCCACCTCAGCCTCCTAAAGTGCTGGAATTACAAGCGTGAGCCTTTCCCTCATTCTTATACTTCTCTCTGGGGCACCCTGACAACTTCAGGACTTCTTTTCTTTCTTTCCTTTTCTTTTTTTTTTTTTCAGACGGAGTCTCACTCTGTCACCTGGGTTGGAGTGCAGTGGTGCGATCTCAGCTCATTGCAACCTTCGCCTCCCAGGCTCAAGCGATCCTCTCACCTCTGCCCCCTGAGTAGCTAGCTGGGACTACAGGCACACACAACCATGCCTGCCTAATTTCTTGTATTTTTGGTAGAGACAGGTTTTCACCATGTTGTCCAGTCTGGTATTGAACTAAGCTCCAGTGATCTGCCCACCTTAGCCTCCCAAAGTGCTGGGATCACAGGCATGAGCCACTGTGCTCAGCCCTCAGAACCTTTTTTTTTTTTTGAGATGGAGTTTTACTCTTGTCACCCAGGCTAGAGTAATAGTGCCATCTCGGCTCACTGTAACCTCCACCTCCCCAGTTCAAGCAATTCTCCTGCCTCAGCCTCCTGAGTAGCTGGGATTACAGGCGTCCACCACCATGCCCAGACAATTTTTGCATTTTTAGTAGAGACAGGGTTTCACCATGTTGGCCAGGCTGGTCTCAAACTCCTGACCTCAGGTGATCCATCCACCTCAACCTTCCAAAGTGCTAGGATTACAGGCGTGAGCCACTGTGCCAGCCAGAACCTCTTTTTTGTTCCCACAGTGATGACTTGAGTCTTAGCCCCCATATCTCTTGCTCTACTTCTCCCCCCTTAGGATGACTCTCCCAAATCCATTGTGTAAAGTCAACCCCAACTTCTCTCTTCAGAACTGCCCTTTCTCCTGGTTCCCCATGTAATCTTTCCCCAGACCTCTTACCTGATACCGGCCAGCCACCAAGTGAGTGAGCCCCTTCTTCCCTATGCCCACCACCCTGCCCTTGGCCAGACTACCACCTGCCTCCCTCCTGCCCTCTCAGTCTCCTTAGTTACCCTCAGGTCCATTGTCCATGCAGCAGCTGGATGACCTCTGCTCATGGGACCTGTCTCACTTCCCCACTTGCCCCTCAGCCCTGGACAGTTCCTCCTTAGGAGGGCCTAGCTCCAGCTGGACTGAACTTCTTTGCATCCCTAGATACAACCTGCCTTCCCTGCCTCTCCATCTTTGCACAGGGTGGGCCCTGCAGTGTTTTTTTTTTTTCTTGCTCTGTTGCTCAGGTTGGAACACAGTGGCACAATCACCACTCACTGCAACCTCCGCCCCCTGGGTTCAAGCAATTCTCGTACCTCAGCCTCCCAAGTAGCCAGGACTACAGGCGTGCATCACCACACAGCTAATTCTTTTTGCATTTTTAGTAGAGGTGGGGTTTCACCATGTTGGCTAGGCTGGTCTCAAACTCCTGACCTCAGGTGATCTACCCACCTTGGCCTCCCAAAATGCTAGGATTACAGGCATGAGCTGCTGCCCCTGGCCTGGGCTGTGCAATTGGATGCCTTTTCCTCTTTCCTTCACCTGCCTAACTCCTGCTCACCCTTGAGGTCTCAATCCACACACCACCTCCTTTGAGACAGCTTCCTGGACCACAGACTGGGTCTGGAACCTCTCCTTCGCTCTTACAAAGCCCCTGTGCAACCCCGTTCTCTGCCCTTGTCTGCCTCCCCTTCCCAAAGGGCCACCTGCTGTGTGTAGGGTTCCACACTCCAAGACCAGGTGCAGGTTGAGTGTCCTGACTCTGTGCTCTATTCCCAGTCTCAGAAGTCCCCTGAGATCTCAAAGGCCACTGAGTTCCAGAGGGAGTAAGGCCATGCCTGAAGGTCACCACAGTGGACCAGTGGCCAGACTGGGCTAGGGCCCAAGACTCTTACCTTCCCCTCCAGGGCTCCTGTGCTCCCCCAGAGGCCATCATGAGCAGAGTTGGGATCCTTGAGGGCCCAAGGGGCCCCAACCAGAAGAGAATTGGTAGGCTCCTATCCTAGGGGGATGGCAGCCACCAGCCCAGGCCCTTGAGAGCCCAGGGTGCTGGTGAGGGCTGTCCCAGGATGCCAAGAGGGCCGGTGTCAGTACATCTAATGAGCTGCCTCCTCCTCCAACAGGGCTGGGCATGGGAGTGCTGACCAATGTGCCAGGCAGGGAGGGCCTGAATTCCTGAAGGTGGTGGCAGCAGCTGTTAGGGTCCCAAGGTTAACGATCTCTAACGTCACACAGAAGAGAATGTGCTGAGGTGTGACCTCCCCCACCCTGCCTTGGCTTCCTGGGGTACTGTCTCTCCAGGACTCACCCTGCCCCCTGACAAGACTGAAGTCTGAAGATCAGCCTGGTCTTCCTTCAAGCCTCAGTGCCCTCTTGATTTCCCACCCCTAGGGACCCCTGGCTCTTTCCGGAGGCTGCTCTGCAGGGTCCCTCCTCTGGGCCTTTGCTGCTGCGGTGCCCTCTGCCTGTCTCAGAGATGGGCCCGGCCCTTTCTCAGGAAGCTCCTGAACACCAAGGAATTGAATTGCTTTGTAAATAAACAAAAAGTGCCAAACAAGGTCGCTTGTCACTTGGGAGATGGCCCCTCTCCGCCCCACCAAATGTGTTAATCCAACAAATAACCTAAAATAGAATAGAAAGAACTCATCCAGGCTTTTCTTGTACCTCTGCTCCTCAAACAGCTTCTGCTTTCAGGTCTCCGGAGCAGCCTCTGCTTTTGCTGAAAATTCAGGCCAGGCTTTTGCTGAAAATTCAGCCTGACCTTAATTAATTATTATTAATTTAAACATTTTAAAAAATATACAGATGGCTGGGCACGGTGGCTCGAGCCTGTAATCCCAACACTTTGGAAGGCCAAGGCGGGCAGATCACTTGAGGTCGGGAAAAAACAGCCTGGCCAACATGGTGAAACCCCATCTCTAATAAAATACAAAAATTAGCTGGGCATGGTGGCGCATGCCTGTAATCCCAGCTACTAGGGAGGCTGAGGCAGGAGAATCGCTTGAACCCATGAACCCAAGCGATGTATATACACAGATGAGGTTTTGCCATGTTGCTCAGACTGATCTCGAACTCCTGAGCTCAAGCAATCCACCTGCCTCGGCCTCCCACAGTGTTGGGATTACAGCCATGAGCCACTGTGCCCGGCCTTACTATTTGAGTAAGGGCCTCACTCTTTCACCCAGGCTGGGGTGTGGTGTCATGATCATGGTTCACTGCAACTTTGAACTCCTGGGTTCAAGTGATCATCCTGTCTCAGCTTCCTGAGTAGCTGGGATTACAGGTATGTGCCAGCATGCCCAGCTATTTTTCTTTTTTTTAATTTTTTTTTTTTTTTCTTGAGACAGAGTCTTATTCTGTCACCCAGGCTAGAGTGCAGTGGAGCAATTTCGGCTCACTACAACCTCTGCCACCAGGTTCAAGTGATTCTCCTGCCTCAGCCTCCTGAGTAGCTGGGATTACAGGCCTGCCACTGAGTCTGGCTAATTTTTTGTAGTTTATAGTAGAGACAGTGTTTTACCATCTTGGCCAGGCTGGTCTTGAACTCTTGACCTCGTGATCCACCCACCTCAACCTCCCAAAGTGCTGGAGTTACAGGCGTGAGCCACTGTGACTGGCTTTTAAAAATTTTTTTAAAGACAAGGTCTCACTATTTTGCCCAGGCTAGTCTTGAACTACTACTCTCAAGCAATCCTTCCACCTTGGCCTCCCAAAGTGTTGGGATTACAGATGTAAGCCACTGTGCCTAGCCTCAGCCTGACCTCTATATCTGAATAATCCTCCCCTAGGTGTTGGAAAAGCCTTCCAGGCCCTTCTCCCCGCCCCACCATCCCCAAACCTTCCTCTTCCTCACTTAACACAAGTGGGATGACTTGCTCAATGGCTGTGAGCTCTGTGGGGCCTTGGGCACTGGGATATTGTCTTCCTCTCTGGTGCTGCCCAGGTTTTTTTTTCTTCTTTGAAATGGAAACTGGCTCTGTCACTAGGCTGGAGTGCAGTAGCATGATTTCGGCTCACTGCAACCTCTACCTCCTGGGTAGAATCAAGCGATTCTCCTGCCTCAGCCTCCCAAGTAGCTGGAACTAGAGGCATGCACCTGTAGGCCCAGCTAATTTTTGTATTTTTAGTGGAGACAGGGTTTCGCCATGTTGGCCAAGATGGTCTCAATCTTTTGATTTCATGATCCGCCTGCCTTGGTCTCCCAAAGTACTGGGATTACAGGTGTGAGCCACCACGCCTGACCCAGGTTTTTTTTTTTTTCTGTGCTGAGTGGGTGCCATCTCAGTCAATCTTTCTATTAATAAATTGCCTGGAGGCACAGACTCTCTCAGGCAAGGTGTCTGGTTCCTTGCTATTTCGCTAGTCTTTCTCACTGTTTTTCTCCCTGAGTTTCCACCGGAGCAACCGGCTTGACACTTTCACACTAAAACTAAACACTTTCCTCAAGATTCCTCTTTGCTTAGTTCCTGGAATCTGCTTTTCATCTTTCTTGGCTTATAAAGCCAGTGACTCATTTACTGAGCCAGAATTCACTTCTCCACTAGGATTTCTTGCAGGAAACCTGAGAGTGGCAGGTGACATCATTTTCACTCCACCTGCCCCCTCTTGTCTCTGGCTTTTCTTATCTAAAACTCCAGATTTGTTGAATTATAAGAGGCAGTAAAGTTGTTAGTTTTTCCTTTGATTTAGGCAGCCCTCATTACACCAGGGCCATGTACCTCCAGGGGCTAACCCCAGGACCTTTGTAGAGCTTCCAAGGGCCCCAACCTCCAAACCTTACAAAGAAACAAAATCACCTGTGTTTCCTTGCTAAATTTCCACATAATGACAACTTCTGGCTCTCCCTGGAAATCTAGAAAGCCATAGAAATATTTCTAATGTACTTTCAAAATGCCAACCCTTCTTACCCTTTCTAGCTACCCAGAAATCACACATACACCCAAGTACAATTTCTAATTTGTAATAATCTAAAAGCTCAAATGAAAATTATAGAGCCCACAGCCTGAACATAGTGCTTATTGTGCCTGAAACGACCTAGGGCTTTGGTCTAGGTCCTGCTGCTCACCACATAGAAAGCCAATCACTGAAATGAGTATTGCCAGGAAAGAAGGCTTTATTCATGTACTGCAGCTGAGATAAGAGACCAGTCTCAAATCCATCTCTTTGACTGAATACAATTAGGGGTTTAGGCCAGGTGTGGTGGCTCATGCCTGTAATCCCAGTACTTTGGGAGGCTGAGGGGGACAGATCATGAGGTCAGGAATTTGAGACCAGCCTGGCCAATATGGCAAAACTCCATCTCTACTAAAAATGCAAAAATTAGCCAGGTGTGGTGGTGTGCTGGTAATCCCAGCTACTTGAGAGGCTGAGGCAGGAGAATTGTTGAACCAGGAGGCAAAGGTTTCAATGAGCCAAGATCTTACCACTGTACTTCTGCCTAAGTGACAGAGTCAGATGTCATCTCAAAAAAAAAAAAAAAAAAAAAATTAGGGGTTTATATAACAGGGAAGAATGTGACCTTGTGTGGGAAAACAGGAATTAGGAAGGGGCAAGGAAGAGGAGTTGGTCAATAGAAAGCAGGTGGCTGGTTAGGCAGTTATTTGTTTATTTCTTTGTTTAGAGACAGAGTCTCACTGTTGCCCAGGCTGGAGTGTAGTGGTGAGATCTTGGCTCACTGCAACCTCTGCCTCTTGGGTTCAAGTGATTCTTGTGCCCCAGCCTCTTAAGTAGCTGGGTTTACAGTCATACGCCACCATGCCTGGCTAATTTTTGTAGTTTTAGTAGAGATGGGGTTTTGCAACGTTGGTCAGGCTGGTTTCAAACTGCTGACCTCAAGTGATCTGCCTACCTCAGCCTCCCAAAGTGTTGGGATTACAGTCCTGAGCCACCACACCTGGCCTGATTAGGCAGTTACAATGGGTATGGGGCCTGGTATCATATTGTACAGATGCAGTGATCTGGTAAGTTTCAGCTCTTTGATACTATCTGGAAGCCCTGATGGTTGGTTTCCTGAGAAAGGAACTCAGACAAGACAAATGTAACTTTCTAAAGTTTTAAGAGTGGGAGGATCAATTTCTATTTTCTATTATTCAAATAAACCACAAATGTCAATTCTAGGGGACAATTGGGCCGGTTTCAGTATCACAGAGGGGATCATGCAGATGTTGCCCACACTCAGCCAGATGACCTGAGTGTGTGTGTCTGTGTGAACTTTAAGAGAATCTGTGGCAGCTGGTTGGAGGATGGGGTAGGATTTTAGGAACTGTTCATGCAACTGGAGAATGGGGATAATATTTGGATGAGGGTATATGTATTAGTCCATTTTCATGCTGATAATAAAGAAATACCCAAGACTGCAAAGAAAGAGAGTTAACTGGACTTACAGTTCCACATGATTGGGGAAGCCTCAGAATCATGGCAGGAGGCAAAGGGCATTTCTTACATGGTGGCAGCAAGAGAAAATGAAGAAGATGCAAAAGTGGAAACCCCTGATAAAACCATCAACTCTCCTGAGACTTATTCACTGCCACGAGAACAGTATGGAAGATTCAAATTATGATTCCACCCCCATGATTCAAATTATCTCCCACTGGGTGCCCCTGACAAGATGTGGAATTATGGGAATACAATTCAAGATGAGATTTGGGTGAGGACACAGAGCCAAACCATATCAGTATATAACATCTCAGCAGGTTTTGTTTTGTTTGAGACAGGGTCTTGCTCTGTTACCCAGGCTGGAGTACAGTGGCACTATCATAGCTCACTGTAACCCCAAACTTCTGGGCTCAAGAGGTTCTCCAACCTCAGCCTCCTGAGTAGCTGGGACTATAGGCACGAGCCACTGCACCCAGTTTCTGTGGGTGTTTGAAAGGCTGGGCGTGGGCTGGCTGTAGTGGCTCACACCTGTAATGCTAGCACTTTGAGGGGCCAAGCCAGGCAGATCACCAGAGGTCAGGAGTTTGAGACCAGCCTGGCCAACATGGTGAAATGCTGTCCCTACTAAAAATACAAAAATTAGGCTGGCAGGGTGGCAGCCACCTGTAATCCCAGGTTTTTGGGAGGCTGAGGCTGAAGAATCACTTGAACCCAGGAGGTGGAGGTTGCAGTGAGCTGAGATCATGCCATTGTACTCCAGCCTGGGTGACAAGAGTAAAACTCCATCTCAAAAAAAGGAAAGAAAGAGAAAGGAAGGAAGGAAGAAAGGAAGGAAGGAAGAAAAGAAAGAAAGATGGGCTGTGCATTTGTGTCGAGTTCTTTAGGGTTGCCAAACGGACTGCTTGAATAAAAAATGCTTTGCAAATGCACCAGTGAAACAAAGCTGAATGATGGCATGTGAATCCTGAATTAACCAGGCTACAATGAAGTTTGAAAAACAGCTTTGGAGCAGTTCGCCAACACTTATCATCATCATCGATGACACACAGTAATAATAGCCATTATTTCTAAGGGCTTAATATGGGTCAAACACAGCTGTCACCCCCTCCTCCACACAAACTTGAGTATCATGGCTCATGCAAGTCAAGGCTGTCTCATCTCCTGAGGGTCTTCTGCTTTGCCCTGGTCTTACAACATTTTACCCTGGACATACATTGGAGGACTCAGTGCAAAATGAAAATGTAGAGTGCCTTGTTCAATCTTATGAATTTCAAGATGATGACAGCAGAGAATAAAAGCAATCATGGGACCCTTCTGAGCATGGATCGCTGCGTGATGACACAAATCTCAGGCCCATGAAGCCGGCCCTACTTTCACCACTGAATTATACCCAGATGGCTAATGTGACCTGAAGTGGAAAGATTCCACACACTTGTCCCAGGGTGCCATCTGCCCTCCTGGAAGTCAGCTGTGCACTGCTGTTGATTGACTATCCTTGGTGCGTGCGTGCGTGCGTGCGTGCATGCGTGCGTGTGTGTGTGTGTGTGTGGTGGGTTGTGTGTCTGGATGTCTCTGACTGATGTCGACCACCTGTGGAGAAATCCCTTTTATTGCAATCAAGTCAGACTCTGGGATGCAGAGCTATGCATCAGCTTGGGGAATTCAGCACAGGGCTGGGGCTTTCCGGGAGGCTAATCAATAGATCTGAGCAAGAACAGAGCTGTAGGGCCATAACCCCTGTGAACAGAGAAAACCAAGTGAGAAGTTCCCTGAAGTCCCAAAAGGAGAGTAAGCGTAAACATGCACCCACAAGGGGGCGTGCATTTACTGTCTTTCAATTAAAAACAAAAAAATTTTTTTTGAGTCAGCGTCTCGGTCTGTCACCCAGGCTGGTATACAATAGTGTAATCACAGCTCACTGTAACCTCCAACTCCTGAGCTCAAGCGATCCTCCCACTACAGCCTTCCAAGTAGCTAGGACCACAGGCTCTTGCCACTACACCTGGCTAATTTTATTTTTAATTTTTATTGATTTTTTTTTGAGACGGAGTCTTGCTTTGTTGCCAGGCTGGAATTCAGTGGCATGATCTTGGCTCACTGAAACCTCTGTCCCCCCGGTTCAAGTGATTCTCCTGCCTCAGCCTCCCAGGTAGCTGGGACTACAGGCATGCACCACCACGCCCAGATAATTTTTGTATTTTTAGTGGAGATGGGGTTTCACCATGTTGGCCAAGCTGGTCTCGGACTGCTGACCTCAGGTGATCAGCTGCCTTGGCCTCCCAAAATGCTAAGATTATAGGCACGAGCCACCATGCCTGGCCTTTTGCATGTTGTGTAAGACAAAGGTCCAACTTCATTATTTTGCATGTGAATATCCAGTTTTTTTGTTTTGTTTTGTTTTGTTTTTTAAGCACCATTTGTTGAAAAGACTGTCCTTTCCCCCATTGAATGGTCTTGGAACATTTGTTGAAAATCGATGTCTATCCTTATGCTAGTATCATACTGTTTTTCTGTTTGTTTTTTGTTTTGGTTTCTTTGAGACAGAGTCTTGCTCTGTCATCCAGGATGGAGTGCAGTGGTTCAGTATCAGCTCACTGCAGCCTCCGTCTCTCAGGTTCAAGTGATTCTCTTGCCTCAGCCTCCTGAGTAGCTGGGATTATAGGTGCGTGCCACCACACCCAGTTGATTTTTGTATTTTTAGTAGAGATAGGATTTCACCGTGTTGGCCAGGCTAATCTTAAACTCCTGACCTCAAGTGATCTGCCCACCTTGGGCTCCCAAAGTGCTGGGATTACAGGTGTGAGCCCCATGCCTGGCCTTCCTTGTGCTTTTTTGAAGATTTTTGGCTATTTGGTGTTCTTTAAAATTCCATGTAAGGCCGGGCATGGTGGCTCACGCCTGTAATCCCAGCACTTTAGGAGGCCGAGGCTGATGGATCACCTGAGGTCAAGAGTTCGAGACCAGCCTGACCAACATGGTGAAACCCTGTCTCTACTAAAAATACAAAAATTAGCTTGTTGTGGTGGCAGACACCTGTAATCCCAGCTACTAGGGAGTCTAAGGCAGGAGAATCACTTGAACCCAGGAGGTGGAGGTTGCAGTGAGCCAAGATTGTGCCATTGGACTCCAGCCTGGGCGATGAGCAAGACTCTGTCTCAAAAAAAAAAAAAAAAAAAATTCCATATAAAATTTGGCTGTGACCAGTGGCTCACACCTGTAATCCTAGCACTTTGGGAGGTTGAGGCAGAATGATCACTTGAGGCAAGGAGTCTGATACGAGCCTGGGCAACATAGCAAAACCCTGTCTCTACAAAAAAAGAAAAAAGACTCCATATAAAATTTTAGGATGGGTTTTTCTATTTCTTTTTTTTTTTTTCAGTTATTTAATTAGATTATTAGGACATTTAAAACACCAATTTGTGAGGATAAATTCCATTTGTCAGGGCAAACACAGATCGCAGGTAGCCCTGGAGCTGAGGAATAGCTTTGATTTTTGGTAAAACTTGTGAGTCCACAGCTTTCTGATCAATCTTGCGCTGCTCTGTAATCTCGTATTTCTCTTTTTCTGTGTCGAAGATCTCACCTTCCTGGTGTCTGGGCTTCCGCAGCTGCTTCTTCTTGAAGTAAGCATCAGTAAGATGTTTTGGGATTTTTACATTGCTGATATCAATTTTGGTTGAGGTGGCAATGACAAATTTCTGGTGTGTTCTTTGCAGAGGAACTTGATTGAGGACCAGAGGTCCAGTCACAAGTAACAAGCCACTAGCCAGCTGCTTCAGGAAAACCACCCTCTTGCCCCTGTGGCGACCAGTGAGGATGATCAGAATGGTCCCGGGGGTAATGCTGGCTCGCAGTTTTCTCACTTGCTGACTAAAGGGTTTTTTTGCCGTGGCTCAACAGCTTTTGAGGCACATCTTCAGTAGGATAATACCTAGGCATTTTGTGAAGTTTAATCACCCGGGTGCTGCCGTTTTTGTCACCACCAACTGGTTTTGTAACAGTTGCAAGAACCTTCTCTTTCTTTTTCTTTTTAACCTTGGATTTAGCTGCTGAGTACTTCCTCTTGTACAAGGCTTTTCTGGAATACATTGCAGATTGGGAATACCTGCCAATTCTTCTGACAAGAACAGGATTGCGGCTGCAATGGGGCTTCCTCTTCTTGGGCTTTTTAGCCTTGAGGCTACCCTTTTTCACTTTGCTACCAGCATCAGCCTTCTTGGCTTCAGGTTTCTTCTCTTTAGTATCCAGCTTCTCAACTTTTCACCCGCCATCTTGCAAGATGGGAAAGAGGGGTTTTTCTATTTCTATGAAAAAATGTCACTGGGGATCATATGCGGTAGATCACACCTGTAATCCCAGCACTTTGGGAGGCTGAGGCGGACCAATGCCTTGAAGTCAGAAGTTTCAGACCAACCTGGCCAACACAGTGAAACCCCATCTCTACTAAAAATACAAAAATTAGCCAGGCATGGTGGTGAATGCTTGTAATCTCAGCTACATGGGAGGCTGAGGAAAGATGATTGCTTGAACTCAGGAGGTGGAGTTTGCAGTGAGCCCAGATCTTGCCATTGCACTCCTGCCTGGGTGACAGAGTAAGACTCCATCTTGAAAAAAAAAGTCATTGCAAGTTTGACAAGGAGGATTTCATTGAATCTGTATATCACATTGGATAGTTATCATCATCTTAACACTATTAAGTCTTCTAATTTATGACCACAGATGTTTTTCCCTTTATTTATGTCTTTTAAATTTTCTTTTCTTTTTTTTTAAAGTAGAGATTGTAGTCTCATCATATTATTCAGGCTGGTCTCCAACTCTTGGCCTCAAATGATCCTCCTGCTTTGGCCTCCCAAAGTGTTGGCATTAAGGTGTGAGCCACTATGCCTGGCCTATAAGCCACTGTCTTTTTTTTTTTGTTTGAAACAGAGTTTTACTCTTGTTGCCCACGCTGGAGTGCAATGGTTCGATCTTGGCTCACCATAACCTCCACCTCTTGGGTTCAAGCAATTCTCCTGCCTCAGCCTCCTGAGTAGCTGGGATTACAGGCATGTACCACCACACCCGGCTAATTTTGTATTTTTAGTAGAGATAGGATTTCTCCATGTTGGTCAGGCTGGTCTCGAACTCCTGACTTCAGGTGATCCACCCACCAGGACCTTCCAAAGTGCTGGGATTGGCCGGGTGTGGTGGCTCACGCCTGTAATCCAAGCACTCTGGGAGGCCGAGGCGGGTGGATCACAAGGTCAAGAGATCAAGACCATCCTGGTCAACTTGGTGAAACCCCGTTTCTACTAAAAATACAAAAAATTAGCTGGGCATGGTGGCGCGTGCCTGTAATCCCAGCTACTCAGGAGGCTGAGGCAGGAGAATTGCCTGAACCCAGGAGGTAGAGGTTGCGGTGAGCCGAGATCACGCCATTGCACTACAGCCTGGGTAGCAAGAGTGAAACTCCGTCTCAAAAAAAAAACAAAAACAAAGTGCTGGGATTACAGGCGTGAGCCACTAGGCCTGGCCTAAGCCACTGTCTTTTACATTTCACTTGCTGATCATTCATTTCTAGTATGTTGAAATTTAGCAGATTTTTATGTATTGATCTTATGTGATCCAGGAGATTTGGGTATAGTTTAATTTTCCCTGCAACCCTGGGCAGTTGCATCTTGGTCAGCTGTTCTTTTTAGATTATTTTTAAACTTTTTTTTTTTTTGCGACAGCATCTTACTCTGTTGCCCAGGCTGAAGTGCAGTGGCATGATCATAGCTCACTGCAGCCTTGAACTCCTGGGCTCAAGGGATCCTCACACCTCAGCCTCCCGAGTAGCCGGGCCCAGAGGTGCAAGCCACCATGCCTGGCTAATTTTTAAATATTCTGTAGAGATGGGATTTCCTATGTTGCCCAGCCTGGGTAACATAAAATAGCCAAACGTGATAAACATAACAAACAATTTTAAAGGTGATAGGCTGGGTATGGATACTCACACCTGTAATCCCAGCCCTTAGGGATGCTGAGGTAGAAGGATTGCTTGAGCCCAGGAGTTCAAGACTAGCCTGGGCAACATATCGAGCCTCAGCCTCAACTGATCTCCCTTCCTCCTCCTCCTCCTTGAGGTTCATGGCTGGCCATCAGCCTGTCCTGTCATTCCTGTGATCTGCCTGACTCCCTTCTGCACAGAGGTTCAACAGCAGGCCAGCTTCAGGTTCCTGCACTTCTGGCAAACATCTTGCCTTTTTTTACTTGTCAAAATGATGATGGAATGACCTCAAAGATACATTTACAAAAGCCACCTTCCTGTTTCATCACTGAGGCTTCACCAGAGAGCTCGCTGCCCCAGGGCTGCATACACCGTCGCCTTCACAGCAGGGTCCTAACCTTGCCTCCCCCATTGCCTGAGAGTGAGATGGAGAGCTCTGGGCAGGTGGGCCCCCTCCAGATTAGTTCAGAAAGTCAGCATAACTACAGTTATTTTTTTAAAACCCACGCAATGTGGGTATACATTTCTGTTCCAGACCCAGCACAGTTACTCATGCCTGTAGTTCCAGAACTTTGGGAGGCCAAGCGGGGTGGATCACTTGAGGCCAGGAGTTTGAGACTAGCCTGGCCAACATGGTAAAAACCTGTGTCTACTAAAATACAAAAATCAACCAGGCATGGTGGTGTGTGTGCACCTGTAATCCCAGCTACTTGGGTGGCTGAAGAATGGGAATCGCTTGAACCTGGGAGGCGGAGGCTTCAGTGAGCCAGGATTGCACCATTGCACTCTAGCCTGGGTGACAGAGCGAGACCCTGCCCTGTCTCAAAAAACAAAAACAAACAAACAGAAAACAAAAAACAGGTCGGGCACATGGCTCATGCCTGTAATCCCAGAACTTTGGGAGGCTGAGGCAGGAGGATCATTTGAGGTCAGGAGTTCGAGACCAGCCTGGCCAACATGGTGAAACCCTGTTTCTACTAAAAATACAAAATATTAGCTGGGAATGGTGGTATACACCTGGAGTCCCAGGTACTTGGGAGGCTGAGGCAGGAGAATCACTTGAATCTGAGAGGTGGAGGTTGCAGTGAGCCAAAATCATGCCACTGCACTCCAATCTGGGAGACGGAGTGAGACTCCATCTCAAAAAAAAAAAAATTGCTCTAAAAGCCCTTTGTGCAAGAAACATCAATCTGAATCTGAATTCCCTTCTGCCAAGTAATTACAGTCATGCAACACTTAACAAAGGGAATACGTTCTGAGAAATATGTCCTATTTTATCATTGCGCAAACATCATAGAATGTACTTATACAACCCCAGATGGTATAGCCTGCTACATGCCTAGGCTACAAACCTGCACAGCATGTTACTGTGCTGAATACTGTAGGCAACTGTACCACAACAGCTAATATCTGTGCATGTCAGCATATCTAAACATAGAGAAGGTTCAGTAAAAACACAGTATTATAATCTTATGGAACCACTGTCATATATGTGGTCCACTGTTGATCAAATCGTTGTTATGCAGTACGCGATCCTGTTGGGGTTCCCTCCCTTCCCCTGGCTGAGAAATGACCCAGACCTTGCTTAGAGCAGAGCTTTGGCTTTGTGTCCCTTTTGGCCACCACTATCACTGTCCATATTCACAAGGCCCTAGAAGGGAGAACTCAAATAGGACTCAAGAACCTTAGTCAAGACTGGTGCCTAATTCTTAGGGTTCAGCCTCGCTGGGTACACTTTGTACTCACTTCCCATTGAGGTCTTGCCACGGTTCTGGATGCATGAGGGAGTGAACACTGCTCCCGCTGTGTTCAGCCATGCCACCCACTGTCCACTCTCACTCGTCCCAGTGACATCCCACCAAGAGGAATTCAAGTGTCTGTTTTTCCTCGGCTATCATACTTCTTGATCTTTGCCAATGGTCTAGGGTAGGGGGTCTGGCTCATGACCAAATCTAGCCCCCTGCTAGTTTTTGTGTAGCCTGTGAGCTAAGAATGTTGGTTTTGGTTTTGGTTTTGAGACAAGATCTCACTCCGTCACCCAGGCTAGAAAGTAGTGTGATCATGGTTCATTGCAGACTCAATTGCCTGTGCTCAGGTGATCCTTCCACCTCAGCCTCCCGAGTAGCTGGGACTACAGGTGTGCACCACCACACCTGGCTAGTTTTTAAGTTTTTCTGTAGTGACAGGGTTCTCAGGCTGGTCTCTCAAGCAATCCTCCCGCCTTGGCCTCCCAAAGTGCTGGGATTACGGGCATGAGTCACTGTGCCCAGCCAAGAATTTTTTTTTAATGGCTTGGAAAAATCATGTGAAGAATAGTATTTTTTGATATGTAATAATTATCTAAAACTCAAGTTTCAGTGTGCAGAAATAAAGATTATTTTAACAGCCAGGCTTACTCGGTATGTATCCTCTGTGTCTTCCTTGGTGCTCTAAAGGCAGAATTGAATAATTGGGACAGAGATTGTGAGTAGTGCTCTCATCACTTCACACTGCTGCTAAGTGCATTTACAAATTACTGTTTTGGGGCTGGGCATCGTTGCTCATGCCTGTAATCCCAGCACTTTGGGAGGCCAAGGTGGGCGGATTACCTGAGACCGGCCTGGCTAACATGAGGAAACTGCGTCTCTACTAAAAATACAAAAAAATTATCCAGGCCTGGTGGCGCTCACCTGTGATCTCAGCTACTCAAGAGGCTGAGGCAGGAGAATTGCTTGAACCCAGGAGGCGGAGGTTGCAGTGAGCCAAGATCACACCACTGCACTCCAGCCTGAGCAACAGAGTGAGACACTGTCTCAAAAAAAACAAAAAAGGTGGGGAGAGTTTAAAGTAATTCACTAAAATAATTAAAGACTACTAGACTTTTCTCTTTTGTTGTCTTGAGAATGAGTCTTGTTGTTTTGAGACAGTTTCGCCATGTTGGCCAGGCTGGTCTTGAACTTCTGACCCCAAGTGATCCTCTCACCTCGGCCTCTCAAAGTGCTGGGATTACAAGCATAAGCCACCATGCTCATCTGCCGTCCTTTTGGAGAGAACAGTTGGTCAAAGGATTGAGGATTGGCTCGGCATGGTGGCTCACGCCTATAATTCTAGCACTTTGAGAGGCCAAGGTAGGACCATCTGAGCACTGCTTGACAGTCTGCAGCTTGTTTGAGAGCAGACTGAGCCACATATTGAGACACCATTTCCTAAAAAAAAAAAAAAAAAATTAGCCAGGCCTGGTGGCATGAGCCTGTGGTCCCAGCTACTTGGGAGGCTGAGGTGGAAGAATCACTTGAACCTGGAGTGCCACTGCACTCCAGCCAGGGTGACAGAGCAAGATCCTGTTTTTTAAAAAAAGGGCTGATCCCCGGTTTCAGCACCAAAAAACAAAGTCCAGGCACGGTGGCTCACACCTGTAATCCCAGAACTTTGGGAGGCTGAGGTGGGTGGATCACTTGAGGTCAGGAGACCAGCCTCGCCAACAGGGTGAAACACTGTCTCTACTAAAAATATAACAATTAGCTGGGCATGGTAGTGTACACCTGTAATCCCAGCTACTCAGGAGGCTGAGGCAGGAGAATTGCTTGAACCTGGGAGACAGAGGTTGCAGTGAGCCGAGATCATGCCACTGCAGCCTGGGAAACAGAAGGAGACTCCATCTCAAAAAAAAAGGTCTGGGCCGGGCGCAGTGGCTCACGCCTGTAATCCCAGCACTTTGGGAGGCTGAGGCAGGCAGATCACTTGAAGTCAGAAGATCAAGACCATCCTGGCTAACATGGTGGAACCCCGTCTCTACTAAAAATACAAAAAATTAGCCAGGCATGGTGGCACATGCCTGTAGTCCTAGCTACTTGGGAGACTGAGGCAGGAGAATCACTTGAACCTGGGAGGCAGAGATTGCAGTGAGCAGAGATTGTGCCACTGCACTCCAGCCCGAGTGACAGAGCCAGACTCTGTCTCAAAAAAAAAAAGAAAGAAAAAAAAGGTCTGTAAGTAGATAGTGGCAGTGGGTATGTACAACATATCAATGTACTTAATGCTACTGACATACGCTTAAAAATGATTAAATTGTAAGTTTTTTTGTTGAGAAACAGTAAGTTTACCCTGTCCCCCCACCTGGTGTATTCCTGAGTTATGTGTATATATAGAACACCTTGTATTAGTAAGAATCACGTGTCAAAGAGCAAATAAATACCTGGATGAATCTCTGCTCAGTGCCCTCAGTCTGGAGAGCTGTCAGCCCCGCAGGCTCTCAGGCTGTTGGTCCCCAGAATAGCTCCATTCTGTTGGCTATCTGGGTGT